TATTGAATATAATACACCTTTGCCATCAAGCGCTCCTGTGGAGCGCTTGTTTAGTAAAGCTAAACATGTTCTAAATGAAAGACGCGGATGTTTAAATGATGATAATTTTAAAAAAATTTTATTATTAAAAGCTAATTTTAATTATAAATAAATATATTATAATTGTTATATTTATTATTCAATTACAATAAATTTCTACCATATTTAATTTATTTTTATATTAGTAATTTTGCATCGGTTATATTATATTATTATTCAATTACAATAAATTTATAACATATATTAGTTAATTTTGCATCGGTCAGAAATTTCCTTCAGAAATTTAAATAGAAAAAAAAATCGTAATCGCGATCTTTTTTTTAAAAAAGGTGGATCCTGGATTTCGATTCTCTTTTTTTGAAAAGATCGTGATCGGGATTCGATCGTTTTAAAAAGATCGGTTAACAAGCCTGATAATATGATTTGCCTAACTTTGATCGTAAAGTCATTTGATCGTAAATTTTGTCCATTTTTTTCTGATTGGTCTATTTAATCGCGGTAAATTAAAATCATTTATAACCCTAACCCCAACCCTAACCTTAACCCTAACCCTAACCCTTACCCTAACCCTAAACCTAACCTATAAATTAAAAAATCGTCCATTTTGACCTGAAATGGACAATGGTACCATTTTACGATCAAAATAATACGATCAAAGGAGGCCCTCCCGATAATATATATATAAACACCTATTTATTATTTACCTTATATATTATAGTATATATGAATCAAATAAAGATCACTACTGAATATTTTACTTGAAATATTTCTGCTCTTTATTAACATTTGCAATTTATTATTTAATAATGAATATCTTTTATAAGAATTCAATTTAATATTTTTTAATTACTAAAAGATTTAAAATGGTAGTATATTGCTGAGGAAGCAAAATTTCCTTTCATAAGTATGATATCTCAAATTAATTATTCTATTGTAAAAATTATTTATGGGATTTCCTATGAAAGATAAAATATTATTACAAAAGTGAACCCATGCTGTGAAGAGAGAGAACTTTAATGTAACAAAATATAGTAAATTATGTTCAAAGCATTTTACACCAGATTCATTTATTCCATCTGTTACAAATCATGTTCAATTAAGAGAGGGAGCAATACCATCAATTTTTAATTTTCCAAAGTATCTTCTAAAAGTAACAAAATAATGTATAATAAATTATAACATGCAGGTTTCCTGGAAGCCAGATTAATTCAAAAATATATGAATAATTTTTTTATAGAAATCAATCAAGCCAAGAGGGGATCAAAAAAATTAGCCATGCCTATTGTAAGCCTTGGAACATCAAGCATTTTAAGCCCTGTATATGAATATCCTATAATTAGCAAGACTATTGAGACTGAACATAATTATTTTGAAAGTTTTGACACAATAAAAAAGAGGTCTATTATTAAAAATAGATTTACAAGAAAGATACAAAAAAAATTAAATTTGGCAAAAAAAAAATTAATGAGAAAAAATAGAGAAATATTATGTTTAAAGTCTGTAATTAAATCATTGAAAGATAAAGACTTGATACATGGTGAAGGGCATGATGTTGTCGAAGGATTATTTACAGGTCTCCCTCTTACATTTGTTAAAACTCAACTTGCCAGTGGTGGAGTCAAAAATCCAAAGAAAATTAAATATGAAACAAATTTCAAACAATTTGCTTCAACTTTATATTTTTACTCTCCAAAGGCTTATCGTTTTTTAAAGAGCCATTTTTGTATGCCATCTGAATCAACTTTAAGAAACTGGAGTTGCAATACAAAGATAGATGAAATAACCAAAAGACATGCTGTTAAAAAAATAGAATGCCATATTGTCAAAAATATTAGGCACAAATATCCTTAGTGACATGCAAGATCATATGTTTGATCAAGAGGCAGGGTTAAATCTTTATCAAATTATAATAAGACTTATAATAAAAAGGTATATATAATATTTACTGGATTTTAATTAAAATTTATTTTCAGATACCTGCACATAATAATGCATCATTTTGGTAATAAAGTAAATCAAAAATTACAATTAAATATCAGGCAAAAACTAAACAAGGCTGTACTTTTTCAAGGGCAATAAACCAAGTAATATAAAAATATGTTATTTAACTTAAATATTTATAGGTGAAGAACAAATTATCTGAAAATTTCTAATGACTTTATTGGTTATAATAAATTATTATTAGACATAAATATAACATATATATTATTTGTATTTATTATTGATTTATAAGATTAATATTTTTTCGCGATACATATTAATTATATTATTATTTTATTTGATATAAATATAACATAATATATATTATTTGTATTTTTCATGATATATATTTACATTATTGATTTTTATACTTTAGTGAATAAAATTTAAATAAAGAAATATATTTAGAAATTGATAGTTTATATTTATTAAGGAATAACATAATTATAAGCAAAAATAAAATGAAATAAGTTATTTAAAAAGGTCAAATTAATTATTCTAAATTATATGTTGTATATTTTCATTTCATTTAACAGCGTATATATATAAAAAAAATATAAATTGAATATAAAAAAGTTAATCGAATATATTAAACAAAAAATAAACACGATTAATTTAACAAAAATAAAAGATAAGGCATTCAAATATTTAAATTAAAATTAAAGTTAATCATCTTTAACATTCTCTTCTACAAAGTACTAAGTTTCTTCTCGGTTAGCGCATAAGTCTCAAATGTTCTCGTTGGCTTGATTCTATCACGAGGTTTGATAAAATCGTTTATTAGAGTTGCGTGAGTTCACACGTTTTCGTTGGCTTGATTCTATCGTAGGCTTGATAAAATCGTTTAACATTATCGTTGGCTTGTCCCAATCGTTGGTTTGTTCAAATCGTTTTTGCACGTTGGTTTGTATGAACGTAAGCTTGATATCCTTATTGTAAGTTGTCCTGTCCTTATGAATCGTGAATCAGTTAGTACTCAGTAGTATTTATTATCAATTGTTATTAGAATCCGTAAGTTCAGAATAATGAGAAATAATTGTTCATCAAATTGGATATAAGAATAAATGAAGAATGATAAATCAATAAGATTGTTAAATAATATTTTCAATGTTTTAATTTTTGCGTTTTATTATAAGCGTTTTAATATTTTTTGCGTTTTATATAAGCGTTTTAGTATAAACTATTATTTTTAATTTATATTTATTAATTTAAATCCATGAGGTTAAAATATGCAAATAAGATATTATGCACACTTCCCTCTTAAAGAACTTTTAAATTTAAAACCCTTATAGTGCGTACAAATTGTGCGTTGCAACGCAGCGTTTTAAAACGCATATAAAAAAACGTAAACGCAGCCATGTATAAATTGATGCGTTAACTTTTATTTTTTCAATATGAAACATTTAAATTTAAAACAAAAAAAATTACTTGCTTTGTATTTACTACAAAGAAATAAAGGAAGGAAGAAGAGCAAGACATTCAAAATATTTGTTAAAAGAAATCTTTTTTCAGAATATATTAATATTAAAGGCGATTTAACACATTCGCAATTTTATAACTATACAAGAATGAGAAGATCAACATTTTCTTATATACTGGAGCTCATATACGAGGACAGGTAAAATAGTCAAAAAATTTGACATTCTAAGTAAGCCAATAGAAATAGGACTACCTAGCATAGAGATAGTGATAAAGGCTATTTGCATCTTACATAACATCATACAAAGAAGGATCAGCTTCCATTGATGATATAGGTAATACTAATATTTAAATTTAAATAAATATATAAAAATCATATTTATATATATTTAATTATATTATCATCAATACAGATCCTACATTGGCTAACCTTACAACAAGACCATTTTTGGCAAGCAGGGAAAACAACTAAAGCTCACAGGAATCTAAAATCATTAGGGATAAATTTAAAAATTTTATAAATTCTTAAATTTTTATATTATAATAAATTTATTTATATTACTATTATAATAAATTTATTTATATTACTATTATAATAAATTTATTTATATTACTATTATAATAAATTTATTTATATTACTATTATAATAATTTTATTTATATTACTATTATAATAAATTTATTTATATTACTATTATAATAAATTTATTAATATTAAATAAAATTTGAATAAAGTATTGATCATGAAATAATTTTAAGTTTAGTTATATATGTAAGCTTAGTGTTAATTGTAATAGATTAAATGAAGTGGGATCCAAAGTTGAGGATTAATAATGGGGATGAAGGTTGTAGACTAGATTTATATATATATTAAACTTAACAATGCAAATATTTTAAATTGCCCTCAATCATAAGAGTGAAAAACTTTAGCCAGTATAAATAATTACAAATATTAATCATGTTTTGCTATATATTTATGCAATCTTATTTATATTTTTAAAATTACATTTTAGGAAGAAGTTAACACATGATTATCCACTAATTATATAAAAATTTTATTAATAACAATATATCAAAAATTAACACATAAACTACTAATTATATAAAAATTTTATTAATAACAATATATCAAAAATTAACAATAAAACAAATATAAAAATTATATAATAGTATTAAAAGTTTCTGTTGGTTGTGTTCTATTGATCTTGATTATTTGCATTAGTTTTAAAACCTGTTTTAAAAAAAAATCTTCATCGGAATTGTAGCCTTCCATTGTATCAACTAGGCTATCCAAAAAGAGTCTATATAAAAGATAAATAAATTATAGATAAGAATTACTGGATGCTAGATGACTTTTTTTCCAATACATTCATCAGAATTTGCAAATCATTTTTTGGCAGGTTTCCTTGTTGGAGGAGGGGATTCCTGAAAGTTACTGACAGTAAGTCTGTCAGCAACAGTGGATTGCATGAAATTAATATATTTCTTATACTTGTATTCATGCACCCCTCCTCTAGATCCGGATAGACTGTCTAATTTTTCTTTGCTCAGTTGATTCTTGATCTTAAACGCTTTTTTAAGTAGTTAACACTACAGTCATAATCAGGATATTCTTCTGATAATCTAAAAATAAAATTATTAATAATATAATATATTATTTAACTTAATTCCTATGATGGAAAGATGTTCCATCACAACGAATGTCTTCTTGTGATCAGGATGCGCCTGATTCCATATAATCTCTTCTGGTTCCAACATTTCTGCAAACCTCATTGTGATTTGGTCATTCCATGATCTAACATAATTAATATATGATGATTTAAAGATAATTATACTTACATTTTTGCTGGTGAATTCATTTCTCCACTTCAAAAAAATTTGAAAACGCAAGCAGGTTTACGTTTTGAAAAAAATAATTTAAATGAAAAACGGAAATGTGTTCAATTTGAACGAATACATTTAAAATGCATTGCTTGCGTACTATTATTCTTCACATAATAATTTTTATCATAATTTTTCTTCAAATAACTTTTAATAAATAAATTAAGTCTTAAATTTTTAGAAATCAATGTCCTCTTCACTTTTATGAAGAGTTTTTTTAAATTCAATTGTTTAGTTTTGCTATAGCCGTCTGTTCTCATAATACTTTTAGGTTTTATAGTCTTTTCAACTTTATGTTATCTAGATCCTTTATCATTTTTTTATTAATTATAAGAGTTTTTTTAATTTTATAATTTAATATTTGTATGATCAACTTCTTTAATCACTAATATTTCTTTATTAATTATGTAATTAATATCTTTTAATTTAAATATTTTAATCACATTTTGACATAGACTCGAAATTATAGTTTTGTCTTTCTTTTTAATATTAGTATGATAAATTTGTTCATCCAGATTTACTACGTCAAATATTTGAAAATTTTTAAAATATCCAATTTTTTAATTTGTATTTTATCAAAAATTCTTTGATTTTTATTAAATTATTTCTCCATTCAAAAGCATCTTGTATATTAGAATCAGGTTCGAATAATTCCAATTCTTCTAGGTCGATTGGTTCTTCATCATTTAAATTATTTATTTTCCTAATTATATTATTACAAGAATTTTTATTATCATAATTATTCCTAGTGTTTTCATCGTTCCCTCTCTCAATTGAATATGACTTTTAACTAATGGAATAAATGAATCTGGTGTAAAATGCCTTGAAAATAATTAAATTTGAGTCATCTCTCTTCAAAGCATGGGTCCACATTACCATTTTCTTAAAATATATTAAATTTTATAAAAGATTTCAGATCAAATTATATTTAAATCAAACATTATTGATTATTATACTTAAGTGAATTAAATTTAAATAAAGAAATATATTTAGAAATGGATAGTTTATATTTATTAAGGAATAACATAATTATAAGCAAAAATAAAACATAAAAGACATAAGACATAAATTATAAAAATACAAAAGAAATCTAGAATTGATTTCTATAAAAAAAAATATTCATGTATTTTTGAATTAATCTGGCTTCTAGGAAACCTGCATGTTATAATTTATTATTCATTATTTTGTTACTTTTAGAAGATGCTTTGGAAAATTAAAAATTGATGGTATTGCTACCTCTCTTAATTGAACATGATTTGTAACAGATGGAATAAATGAATCTGGTGTAAAATGCTTTGAACACTATTTACTATATTTTGTTACATTGAAGTTCTCTCTCTTCACAGCATGGGTCCACTTTTGTAATAATAATTTATCTTTCATAGGAAATCTGCCATAAATAATTTTTACAATAGAATAATATATTTGAGATATCACACTTATGAAAGAAAATTTTGCTTCCTCAGCAATATACTACCATTTTAAATCTTTTAGTAATTAAAAAATATTAAATTGAATTCTTATAAAAGATATTCATTATTAAATAATAAATTACAAATGTTAATAAAGAGCAGAAATATTTCAAGTAAAATATTCAGTAGTGACCTTTATTTGATTCATATATACTATAATATATAAGGTAGATAATAAATTGGTGTATTATAATATATATATATATATTATAAATATAAACATAATAAAAATATACCTGAAATTTATGAAATTATCATATGCTTCTTTCGTAAAAGATACAAACACAAAATGGCCACCAGTCACTTCAATTTTTGCAACTTCAAATTTGATTTTAGCATTACGATTGGCAGTCTATAGTATTAATGTCATTGATTTATTAAAGTATAGAGTAATTATATAACTGTCAAATACGTTTGTAAAAGTGGCATTTTATCTAATATTTTATAACCAATTTTATATAATAGAGGATTATAAACTATATGTCTACTTACTACTTTTTATTAAGATATCTCTTATACTTATTAGGAACTTAGTATTATTTTTAGGAAGAGGGATGGTGATTAAATTTAAAAATGAATTATATAGTTGCTTAGTGATTTTAAACTCGGCTAGTTACAATTTTATATTTGTTAATTTTGAATTAATAAATGATTATATTTATATAATTTGAGTTCTATAATAATTTAAATAATAAAAGTCAATCATTCAACTGAAGTACTAAATTAATATTTAGTGAGTGATATTGATATGATATTCTATTTTTAACATAGAATTTGATTGCAAAGCTGACACAGTGAAGATATAATTTATATGTATTAATCTAATCTTATAATTTAAATAGTATTCATTTAATAAAAATTTAGATAGTCTTATTAATTTTTAAATAATAAAATTAAATCTATATATTTAATAGAATTATAAAAGAAATCATTCAGGGGGCAAACAAAAAGATTTATTTTTAGTTCAAATGATAATAAGGAGTTATTTTTTTAAAGAAAATTTTGCTTTATGGGGTTATTTAAATTTTTCAGGGAGCTCGAGCTTCTGCGCCCCCCCCCCCGGTGACGACACTGCTGCCTATACTACACTACATAGGTCAATTGTTTAAATATAAATTTAGACACAGTAAAGGCAAATCTACTAAATATCTGTATAAATAATAAGGTTTTTGAAAACTTCGTGCTATATGGGCAGCGTCTACATGGCAGAAAATTTGATGGAGACAAACCCCCTCCAAAATCTACCCATACCCACCTAAAAAAATCACGCGGCCTTCGGCCGTAAAATTTACAGACCTACGATGTTATAGTGATTTTATTTAAAAAATCTTATAATAAGCCACCATTTATAACCTTACAACATAATTCTATTTATAATCTTTCAAGCCTATTTAGGGAAAAAAAATTGTAGGTGATAATCAACTCATATTTAAATAGTGCAATCTTTTCATAATTTGGTTGATATTCACTTTATTTTCATAAAATATATATAAGTGAATTAAATGAGATAACATATTTATATTTCTATAGAAAAGATCTAAAATATTGTAAAATATAAGACGAGTAATTTTAAAGAGGTATATTTAGCTTGATTCCACATACCTATATTACCTTTTAATTAATTAAAAACATCTATTGTAAATAAATAGAGTTATTATGTAAAATATTAGAATAAAATGAAATATAGTATATTTTTCATTGAAATTATAAAATGTTAAATTAAATTTACATTTTTTAAAAGCGTAATATATTCGCTGTGAAAAAGATACATTACTTATTTTATTAATAATTTAGATAACCTTATGGATGTTAATGCAAATTGTGTTATAATATCACCAATTGTAAATTTTTCAAAAACATCAATTTAGCTGGATATTAACAGTAAATTTTCTAAAAATGGGTCCGAAATTTCATTCCGCATTCGAGTTTTGTTTATTTTTACTTTACTCATGGCGCTTTTGGCTGAATAGGAAGTTGTAGGAAGGGTTAATAAATATTTACATAATAAATTTAAATTAGAATAAGAATTCAATTGATTTAAAAGTCGATATGATAATATAAAAGAATATTTTATCAATTTTTTTATTTTGGTCATGATTTCGCTCTTGATTTTTTATTCGGTAGTTTGATCGTTTGCAATACCTTTAATTCGTCATTCTTTTTAACTTTCAATCTTCGCAAAAATGATTGATTGAGACTCCAAATATAAAGAGCGAAAATCATTATATTCATCAACAATGTTTTGGACATCTAATTGATAAGTATGACAAATTTCGCATATTTGCCATCCTTCTATTTTTTCATTATCCATAATTCCAGCGGGAGTAAAAATGGATATTTGTGATAAAAAATTTAAAACAATCATAATTAAATCGATCATTTAGGGGGTTAATTATTGCATTTAGCACAGGGAAAAATATTTCCGTTTTATATCTATAACAATAAATAATAAATTAAAAATTTTAATTTATTCAACTTGTTTTTTTTGTTCAACATAATTATTGAATTCTGTTTGATCCAATTTGAATTTTGATTTCATATTATACAAATCAGTTATTACATTATTCTTCTTCAAAAAACTAGTAGATAGGAATGTAATTTTAAAAAAATATTGTATCCATTAGCTATATTTAAAAATTATTTATAGAAATAGTAACTAATATTAACCTTTTAGTCTTTGTAATTTATTTTTTGTATGTTGTATTAATTTGGCTACCATAGCCAAATCATTACCAACTACCTGCATTTCAATACAAGCCTCATGTGTACATTTCAATATTTCTTTCAAAATAAATAGATTTAATATGAAATTTTCATCCTTAATTCTGAATAATAATCGATCGGCAATGGAAGAGGTGCTTGGGTCATTAGAATCTTTTAATTCAACTAATGATGCTAAAATATGTTTATAAACATCTAAAAAGATTTCTACAGATTTGTATGATAATGATCAATTTCTGAAAATATATAAGTTTCATTAAAAATATTTTATTTAATTCTTTTAAGAGATTTCTTGGACTTTCTCATTTGATATTTTTTGCGATATTAGAACCATTATTTTCATTTATTTATTTCTATACTTCTATACAATATTCATATCATACAACAACATAATTAGAAATGGCGATTATATTTATACGATAATGGATAAGTGTGTACATAATACATTAGGAAGTTAAACAACACCTATTATATTAATCGTAAATATATATGTATATAATCATATCCAATTGGCAAATATAATATACAATATAATAAAATATTAGACTAGATTACTTCTTTACTACATTTCCCCCTACGTTAATTGAGAGATGTCTAAATCTCTTCAATCATTCGTTTCGGGGGCTTATGTATCCGATCTCGCCTTGGGGCCTCACACTCTCTCTGATCGCTGTCAGCGATCACGTGCTCCGTCGTATCTGCTATCAAACGGTCTCTTAATTGGTCAGCATGTTTCCGTATTACACGATCTGGGGTCTTGACTACATATGAATATAATCCATTTCTATCCTGAATCACTCCTTCTCTCCAACCCTTAGTGGTTTCATTCCTTACCCATACATGCTGGCCAACATCAAATTC